CAGTCTGTAAGCAAGAGTGGGATGGGGAAATGAGGGATTGCATTGATGAATGGGGCTGTCCCCTCCGATGGAAAGTGGGGAGGAACGAGGGACAACATGGCACTCCACTCTTGAGCTTCCAGCATGAGGAGAAGCTCACTGGATGAGCTTTTGTGTCTGCTCCGCAGCTCATGTGTGATTGGGACCGTGGAGAGAAGCAAGAAGTCTTTCCCCACCCCCCGCCTTGCACAGAGTTCCCTGAAACTTCACCCAGAGAAGCTTTACAGCAGTCATATGGTGAAAACTTCAGTCTGTATCAACTATTTCTGTAGTGTAGCCCAAGTACATTGTCTTTATGGCAAGTTTTAATATATCCTTTTCATAGCTCTGAGGAGAGGCAGTGACCTGTCACTGTTGAGTTCACGTGGAGGTGGCTGGGGAGTATTTAGTGCGCTGGATGGACAGCGTAGATTTGCTGTGTTGAAGGAGTTCATTGATTCTATAGTCTCATGGTGGACAAGAAGAGAAAAATAAATTCTGTAAAGCAAGTACTTTGGCCTTTCAGTTCTGAGGGCTGGATCTTGCCCCCTGTTTAAACCGCCAAGGAGATAAATTCTAATCCTGTGGTTATCATTTTCACTTGAAAGTCTGTTACGTCTGTGATATTTTTGTTGTTTCAGGTGATGATTACCATGTACCTTAAGTGTTTATCAAAAACTTTTATGCTTTCCCAGAAACTATGGGGCTTTGAGTTTGTCACTGTTTGGAGAATCACGGTTAATTTTTAGCATGGCAGCTGTAGCCTTCTTTCACATCTTCAGTATGTGCCTTCAAGAATTACTCTTCTCAAATGGCAGTGCAGAACACTCACATATTAAATATTTTTAGTAACATGAAAAGTGGAGAAAAGTTCTTGTTTCCTTTTGTGCCTTTTTTTCCCAAGATTTTTCATCCTGAAAGACAGGACTCTACTGTGTATGACAAGTAATATTTTCTAATGGTCCATTTTGTACAAACAATAGATTGAGGTTTGTAGAAGATGGACATTTCCACTAATTTCAAAATCTTGGTAATGCCCTATATACCTGGGAGCTGTGACCACAGGATTTCATTACCAGTTAGAAGAACAAGTTCAGCTGCTTCCTTTAGGGACACTGCCACTGCCCGGGAGATGTGTGTTTGTACGCTCGTCCCTGTGTCCATTTGCACACATAGAATTAATTACTCTGGTTTGCTATGGAAACCGTTCTTCTCTATCATATATAAATAAGGGCTAAGCATTTCTGGAAATTTAGAAAAGATGAAAGGAAGTGTAAAGAATGCTATAATTAACCTGTTCCTGAAATTTTGGCACAGTAAGAGCTCAGATTTGAAATTGGGTGTTGACTGAGATGCTGCTTGGTTCCCAGAGACTTTCTGTTAATTCTTTCATTACCTAAGTGAGCATATTCTTAGTCGCTAGCATGTTCTCAAATGTTGATCCTTTTCAAGAAACATGATGCCTTGCTGTTTTCACGATCAAATGTCTTGCGTCTGCCACTTCCTTTTTACTGGGGATATGTATTCCTGCTGTATTACAGAAATGAAGTAAGCATCACCTGTTCATGTAAGATGATATATTGTAGGCAAAGTTAAGTTTTAAAACTTAAGCAGAGCATGCTTTTATGTGCTGAAACGTTAGGCTAGAATCTGGAATACTGTTTAGTTTTACTTCCTAAAAATGTAAATTAATGTCTTAGTTCTGGTCAACAAACACAAAACAGCCTACAAGTAATGTGACAAGTATTGTAACTTACTGTGTGGCCAAAATGATTGGGCATTAAGAGATGATTAAAAGGAAAATTACATACTGTAGAACATGACTCATTATGGTCAGAATATACCAGTGAGGTAATGAAGAGGAAAGGAGGAAAAAAAAAAGTGAGTCAGGTATGCTGTGTAATTCAGATCCTTTGATAGTATAGTAATTATGGTATTTTGACATTATGCTTTGCAAATAACCAAACCTGGTGGCTGTCCCTGTCAGGCATTTCTTTCACAGGTAGCAAAACTGAAGAGCTGATGTTCTAAGCAAGTTAATTTTCCTGCTTTTTGCAGTTAGAGGCTGAATAGGGAGAATAGGCTGAACAGACTTGGTTCACAGTTCCCGACTCATCATCCTGACTCCAATACGGAATCAAGATATTCTGATAACGTGGTGTTTGCCTCTGTGTTATGTTTCCTGTACTATGTTTGCTGATATACATGGTCAGTGGTTTGCTTAATTGAGACAAGAGACGAGGCAAATTTTCAGATAAAAATTCAAATGAGAAGTGTTGTAGATAACTATTACAGTTGTGAAGCAGATATTCTGGTGCATAAAGGCTTGTCCCAACTGTATCGGTTGGTCTAATTAAAATATGTAACTTCCACCTACCAGCCTTGCTTCTCTGAACCTTAAATCATTTCAGTTGTAACAAAAACCTCTGTCTGAGGTTTATGTTTGTAAATTCAGCATTGCTGCTGGAATATGCTGCATCTCCACAGGAGGGCTCTGCTGGCATAGCTATCCTAGCACACACTGTGGGATGGTTGTGGGATTTTCGCCTACTCAGTTTCTTTTCCATTTCCCCAATAGAAAAGCGGGTGTTGGAGCTGCTGGGTGCTGCCCTGTGTGTGGTGCTGCAGACCATTGGAAAAATGGCTGTTGAGGAACTCCAGACTAGAAAGATAGAAGTGCTCCTTTTGTGCCAGGCTTGCATCTCCTTCCCCTAGCAAGAAGAGAGATTCAGGTGCTGCTGTCAAAAAAAAAAAAAAAAAAACAAACAAAAAACAAAACAAAAGACATTGAAAAAAAGGCTTTAATTTCATTTTTATGAGCATACCTTGCAATTGATACTTTTTAATGAATGTTAAGAGATTGCCGGTTACCTGGTTTTAGTGGGTTGAACTGGGGAAAAAAAAATATATTCCATGTCAGTGGTATATCTGATGTTTGAGACAGTTCATAGAGCTATAATAAAGTTGAAATTCTGTGTCTATATGGAAATACAACAGAGAGAAGAGATAGAAATGTAAGGGAAGAACTTAAAAAGAATGATTGTGTACTAAGCTTGTAAAAAAAAAAAAGGGGGGGGGGGATTTTTATTTTGATTTTGTGGGGGTGGGAGGTTGTTTGAGGGCTTTGTTTTTAATATTAAATCCGTCTGCCAAGGCCCACGTGGCAAGAATTGGAGCATTCTCCAGTGCGTGCTGTGGAATTGAAATGCCTGGAAACCATTAGTACCAATATGTGCTGTTTATATTGCTGAGACCTTATCCTACCCAACAGCAGTGATCGTGGCACTGGTGGAGAGAAAAGCAGGAGACATTTGCTGTGTTATGAAACTTAAGAAGCTTGTCTGCCTTCCTCAGATGCTGAAGTTTCCTTTCTCCCAAGGGACACTGAAGTGATGGCGACATCAAGACACGGTTGCAGCTACTGTGACAAGCAGGAAATCCTGCCTAGTCTCTCAAAACCAGGGAATATAGATCTGTAGCCCTCCTGCAAAACTCCTCAGTATTTGTATTTACATACTCTTGGTGTGAGTTTATAAGGTAAAGCAGCAGAAAGAAGGTCAGACGAGAGTAACGTAGATAAAGTTGTGGTTATGCAAACTGTGCTGCTATCTAGCTGGCTCCTTATTCAGCTAAAATAAAACTTAGTGGGGATTTTTTGTTGTTATTGAAGTTATTTGGCTAGGATAGAAACATTCCCAAGGTTGGCTTTTAACCCCCACAGGATCACAGCATTCAGCATCAACTGTCTGAATCATGAATGGGAGGAAAGGGAAATTGCTTGGAAGAAAGTAATTCTTCTATTTAAATTAAACTTTAACATGTGAAAACACAAATAGGTTTTGGGGCAAGAAATTAAGGCATTAAGTAATTCTTCTTTTTCTTCGTTAGTTTTTTGTTCTGGAGAAGTACCAAACAAATCTTACAAATACTTTTTGACAAATAATATGTTTAAATGCCTTAGACTTGGCTCTTCTGCGTTATACCTGACTATCACATGAACAGTAGCAAATGAAGCTGGGGATTATAGTTTTCCTACATCTGAGTCATAGAATCATAGAATCATTGAGGTTGGAAAAGACCTCTAAGATCATCGAGTCCAACCATCGACCCAACACCACCACCCACTAAACCATGTCCCTAAGTGCCTCATCTACTCGTCTTTTAAATACCTCCAGGGATGGGGACTCAACCACTTCCCTGGGCAGCCTGTTCCAATGTTTAACCACTCTTTCAGTAAAGAAATTTTTTCTCACATCCAATCTAAACCTCCCCTGGCACAACTTGAGGCCATTTCCTCTCGTCCTATCGCTTGTTACTTGGGAGAAGTCATTGATACTAACAGTTTTTTAGGAAGTGTGCAGTCTTTGGACTATAAATGGTTTTTTTCTTACCATTTTTGAAGTTGTTATCATACCATGAGCATGTTGCACATCAGGCTAAGTTTTGTGGGACCTTTAACTGCATACACCTTATAAGAAGTGAAGCTGTCTTCTGAATCAACGTTATGTCTCAAGTTTGGATTGAAGTGCATTGTCATTAAGTGAAATGATACTGGTTTTGGTTTATATTTCAGATAATGTTCAATACCAAGCTTGCTGAAAAAATGTGTTCAGTAAAACTCTTAGGATGTGTAGAATTGGAGACTTTTAACACATCCTAAGTAAATGTAGCTTTATACTCGTTGCACATCTTTTCTGCTAATTTATAATAAAGAGTGACTCTGGTAAGAACTGTTCTGGACTCTTCTGTAAGAGCTCACTTTGCAGAGGGCAAGATTCTTACTGTTTCTCAATAGCTACCAGCCTGTATTTTGGTGCTTATAAAAAGTCTTGTGATCCTCTGACAGTTATATATTTTGTGGTAAGTGAAACTTTGTATCAGCTATGTGTTGTTTTCCATCTTAACTTATTTTTATGATTTTGGACTCCTTTTCTTTAAAGCAGTTAACAAAACTTGACATAAATATTTTCTCTTTGATATAGACAACATTGCTAAGTCGTCTGGAACGAATATTTGAAGTCTGTTTTCCTTCCATGCCTGTTCTTGAAATGGAAGAAGAAATAAGTTCCTTGAATTGTTTGTTGGAAGGAGGTGACAAGCAGATGACAACTGAGGAGACCTTAGCAAATACTGGGTAAGAAGCCATAATGCAACAAACTTAAAATGAAGTAGAAACGTGTCTTCTATAGGAACTTAAAACATATAGCAGTAATTCAAAATCAGTTGTTTGCTTCAAGTGTTTTGAAAAACTATCGAGTAAAAATTAGGTATCTAGTAGAATGCTTGTTTTCAGTGACTATGTATACCAGGAGTATTTCACTGAGCATATCGACTTAGTCAGCAGCATATCATCTTCTTTTAAGTGATGTCTCTGAGTTAATCAGAATATGTCTTATTAGTTACACTTGATATGAATTGCTATATTTATTCATGTGATGATGAAGTCTAAGTAGGCCTTGTCCTGTCTGCTGTGGACATCATTTTCCAATTATAAGTCTGAACTATAATTGTTCTGAGAAGCCTGTGCAGTTTTAGTTCCCCTGGGTGTTGTGCTTGGGCGTAAGTTTAATTGGAATGTATAATAAGTCACCTGCATTAAAACTAGAATAAATATTCAAGGCCACTAAGCTGTTATTCCTGTTGATAACTTGATTTATGATGGGTTATATAGGGAACTGATGGACGTGTGGACAGAGCTGCAGGATATCCATGATGCATATGGGCTGAGATACCAGTGGGGTGGCTCCCACAGCAACAAAAAGCTTTTGTGCTCCTTGGGAATCGACACAAGAAATATTGTGAGTCTGTCAGTAAAACTTGCTTTCTAAATAATGGAGCTGCTTTAAATGTAGAATCAGGTGGAAGTCTTTTTGTGTGAATGCTTGTCTCTTAATTGCATAGCTGCACTGAACATGGCTTTTCATGACAGACCATCTGACAACTTAACTTTTTATAAGCCCTATTAATCTTAAAAGTTGCATTAGTTTTTAACCGTTGTGTTATATTTAACATAGTATTTACTCTCTGATATTAATCTTATACAAGTTATATAACATTGAAAAAAATATTATCATCACTGACACAGAAACTCTTAAGTAAACTTTGTTGTTGTTGTTTTATCAGCTCTTTACAGGCAACAAGAAACAGCCTGTTATAGTACCCATGTATGCAGCAGGACTGGTAAGCTGGTTTTGTTTTGGGGGATTTTTTTAGTGTTATTTTTTGTTATAGTTCCAACAGCATTATATAATGATGTATATTAAATGACATTAAGCACCAAGTGTGCTGAAAGATATTTTTGTAAGTATGGTTATGGCTTAGGCATCAGTAGAAATGCTAGAAAAGAATCATCAAATACACAATTTTCATTATGTGTGCAAGGAGATACTTTAAATGAAAAAAGTATCGATTTACTCATTTCATAAAGCAAGCTATTTATCTGATAAGGTGGGCTAGCTAGTGTAAGCTCAGTTTGAGGCATTTTCTAAAAAAAAAAAAATTTATTGAAGTTATTTATTAATTTGTATGCAGCGATAAAAAGTTCTTGCTGAATTTTAACTATTAAGTATAAGGTATAGATGTATAAATGTCAACTAAAACTTGACATGAGAAACTAGATCATTAAATAGTTGTCAAAAATGACAAAGGAACATGGAAATTAATCAAAACATCGATTCACATCAGCACTTGTGGGAAGCCCTGGCACTAAGACCAGATGCTTCAAAGGAAGGTTAGGAACTGCTAGATAGTTATGGTATTCCATTAAATGTGTGTAGGAAGTTTTCTCAGCGCGCTCGAGCATTCCTCTTTGTGCAACTCTTTCTCTGACAGACTGTTTGTTAATTACTTGATTGCATCTCAATATCCCTAGGTCAAGAGAGATGCATGGTAATGCTTTGCAGTGTTCTTGGCATATTAATAAAGGACCCACATATATATATATTAGGCTATTTATGCATACAAAAAGCATTGTATAGGCAGTATTGTGTTGCCTCAAGTGCTAAATATATGTATAGCAAGCATAATTTAGATTTCTGTAGATTGAAGGAAACTCAAGTAACCTAGTGCAGTAAGATCAACTGTTTTCACTTAAGCCGATATTCTGTAATTCCTGTTTGCCATTTCAGACTCTCTGCAATGTCTGTAGTAGTAAAAACATTCAGAAGATTTGCCATTTTTGCTAGTCTGAGCAGGATAAATATAGAATCGTAGAATCATAGAATAGTTTGGGTTGGAAGGGACCTTTAAAGGTCATCTAGTCCAACCCCCCTGCCACG